TGTGTGTGTGTGTGTGTGTGTGTGTGTGTGTGTGTGTGTGTGTGTGTAAGAGCCAGCCATTGAGTTCATGTCAGAAATAGTCCTTGTTCCCTTTACTAGAGAACCCACTTGGATACTGAGCTATCCTGGGCTACATCTGAGCAGGTGTTCTAGGTTATATCCATACATGTCCTTGGTTGGAAAAACAGTCTCATAAAAGACCCCTGTGCTCTGATATATTTGGTCCTTGTGGAGCTCTTGTCCTCTCCAGGTCATACTAACTCCCCCTTCTTTCATTTGATTCCCTGCACTTTGCCAAAGGTTTGATTATGAGTCTCCGTATCTGCTTTGATACACTGCTAGGGAGATTCTTTCAGAGGCCCTCTGTGGTAGGCTCCTGTTCTGTTTCTTGTTTTCTCCTACATCAAATGCTCATCCCATTTGTAAGACAGTCTTAAGAGAAAAACATTAGTCCTTTAAAATGCAAGATAGTCTATATAATTTTTACTTAGATTTCTGATTGGTTAAACTTAGAGTCTAATGGCTGTGATTCCACAAATACAAATTAGTCCTTAAGTTAAAAAATAAGAACACCCACTCTTGAGAAGCACTTGGTCAGAGATTCCAGTGTGGTATCTTTTGCTTGTACCTGACATTTCAGTCTTGGTCCTGAAAACACCAGCATTTTATCTGATTAAAGATTGCTAGGAAAAATCAGTTCATTTTGATGGGAATTGCATGGAATCTGTAGATTGTTTTTGGTAAGATGGGCCATTTTTACTATGTTAATCTTACCAATCCATGAGCGTAGGAGATCTTCCATCTTCTGATACCTTCTTCAATTTCCTTCTTCAAAGACATGACGGTTTTAACCATGCAAGTTTTTCACTTGTTACTTCAAGATATTTTATATTATTTGTGGCTATTGTGAGGGGTGGTGTTTCCCTAATTTATTTTTCAGTCCATTTGTCATTTGTATACAGGAGGGCTAATGATTTTTTTAAGTTAATCTTGTATCCAGCCACTTCACTGAAGGATTTTTTCAGCTCTACAAGTTCCCTGGTAGAACTTTCGGTGTTACTTACGTATACTATATCATCTGCAAATAGTGATACTTTAACTTCTTTCCATTCTTTCCAATTTTTATGCGCTTTAGTTGTCTTATTGCTCTAGCTAGTACTTCCAGTATTATATTGAATAGATGTGGAGAGAGTAGGCAGACTTTTCTTGATTTTAGTGGAATTGCTTTGAGTTTCTCTCCATTTAATTTAATGTTGGCTATCAGCTTGCTGTAAATTGCCTTTACTGTGTTTAGGTATGTCCTCTTTTCTCCCAGTCTTTTATCATAAAGGGATGTTGGATTTTGTCAAAGGCCTTTTCAGCATTTAATGAGATGATCATGTGGGTTTTTTTCTCTCAGTTTGTTCATATATTGGATTACATGGATGGATTTTTGTATGTTTAACTATCCCTTAGTCTCTGGGATGAAGCCTATTAGCTCATGGGGATGATGTTTTTTATGTGTTC